AACACTGCATGTCTGCATTTTTAAAACCAGAGAGTACCAGAGAGAGAGAGAGAGAGAGAGAGAGAGAGAGAGGGGATGAGAAAAGAGAGGGAGAGAGAGAGAGAGAGAGGATCAGCTAAGTAACAATTAAAAAAAAAAAAGCTGTCACTGTCCACAGGAACCATGTCTAGTCACGTTTTCAGTCAGTCAGTCAGCTAGCTGAGGGTCATGTCATTATTTAGTTTCTGTAGAAAAAACACAAGTACAAAAATAGTATCAAAAAGCAACATACCTATTTTAAAATACATATATTAGAAAACATAGTAATTACAACAGCATATAAATAAGGCTTTTAATATATTTAGAAGAATAATATTAAAATTTTATATATGCTTCTCCCGCATTTAAAGAAGTACCTCTTTTTCTGAGCAGTGTGTGAAAGCCAGCAATTTTTCTGCAGTATACTGTTGATACAAAATATAGTTAACTTTTTTTTTATTCTGGAGTATATTTCAACTATGATAAAATTACCTTTTTTTAAAACATTTTTGCACAGAAATAAATCATTATAAATATACATGTTAAAACTTTATTAAAATCCTGAAGTTTAACTAAAAGAAAAAAGAATGCAAATCAAATCAGCGATGCAGGACTTTTTCAGGACAAGGATAACAAAAGACAACAATAACCAAGTATTTCATGACAGAATAAGTGTTTTTCAACTTTGTAAGTAACTAAATAGTTATTTAAGAACACCACCAAACATTTTCAGAAGGGGAAAAAATGCAACAAATCCATTGGCTGTAGGTTAAAGCCGATCAGCGATGATTATTAAGAGCCACAGAATCCAGCCCTAGATATCCGTGTTCTGCATTTCTAATATAGTGCTAGTTAGAAGCTCTGTTTTGTGAAAAATGTTTGGGGTGGGTTTGGGTTTTTTGTTTGGTTTTGGGGCGGGGTTTTTTTTTGGGTGAGGGGATGTGGGGTGGTATTTAAATAGAACTACCAAGTTGCAATGAAGAGATTAACTAGAATTCCACAATACATTCTTCTGAAAGATACCTTGCTCTTCTATTTCTGAGTGATACAATTTACACAACAGGCATCAAAGAATTGCAGTGAGGTTCTCACGAAATACTCAAAGCAATGCAAAAACCTGACTAGAGAGCACAAGCTGGTCAACGCCAAGAACATTAAGACAGCTTCTTCTTTTAGCAACTGCCTAGAAGTAGACACTGTAGTTGCCTTCTCAAGCCTAAACCATCTTGCTTTGAGTCGGTGAAAAGTGATTATTTCAACCATTAATCATTAATTATTTCAACCAACTTAGCATAAGAGGGGAGAACCTCTCACACACCCACCAAAAAAAAAACAACTTACATTAGAAGTTAAAGCAGTTAAGAGAACCTTATTGGTCTGTATTTCCATTATTTTCTCTGCTACTTTTAACTACTCATATAAACAATTGCATTTTCATTGACTTGTAGGAGAGTCAGAGCCTGCAAAATTCATTAGATGGATTAGCTTAGAATATTAATACACATTTACTCAAATTCTCCTGATAAACAAAACTTGTTGTTGTAAAATAATAGACTGTTCTTATGATCAGAAGTTTACATCACAAGAGCATTATCAGTAGCATACCGTTACCATAAAACATTTTTAAGAAACTAGTTTGTAAGTTATATTAAAAAAAAGATGATTTACATAAGAAAAATATTATTGGGGAAAAAACTTCACACATTTACTCAAATTCTCCTGATAAACAAAACTTGTTGTTGTAAAATAATAGACTGTTCTTATGATCAGAAGTTTACATCACAAGAGCATTATCAGTAGCATACCGTTACCATAAAACATTTTTAAGAAACTAGTTTGTAAGTTATATTAAAAAAAAGATGATTTACATAAGAAAAATATTATTGGGGAAAATTCTTCAAAAAGTCAGATAAAAACTGCATTGAAATAATAAATATTTTATTTACATTTAATTAGTCAATTGAATTACATTTATTTTCATATATAAAGAGGCGATGACTTCCTTAAGTGAAAACTCACAGAAGTTTTAGCTAAGATTATTATTTCCTCCAGCTAAAATTCAAAAAGAACAAAAGTTAATATTCTCACATCTTAAAAAAAAAAAAGTACTATTTCAGAGGGAGAGAGAATTCCATCCCCTTTCACATGCACAATTTAAAGCTTTAACTGAAAGCAAAATATAGGCCTCTAAACTACTGAACTTGTTTGCCAGTCAGTCCAATGCAAAGTCACACAATGGTAAGCTTTATTTAAATGGGCAAGCCCTTTCAAAAAGGAGCACAGATGGAATCTTTCTTTTTATGTACCATTTTGTTTGAATTTGAGAAACTGGCTAAAGGACAAAAAAAGAGCAAGTAATTTTGTCTGTCTATGCTAAGAAGAGAGATGCTAAGACAACCTGCTAAGAGACTCAGTATCAAGAATGTGATGTACAGGATGTAACAAGATGCAACACAGTAAATTTAGAAAGCTCTTCTACCTGTGTTATTGCACGGACACAGCAGATGAGAGGCTAAAGAGAGGGGAAATATTCAGCAGTCATTTGCACCAGAATTACAAGTAATCTGTCCAAGACAGCTTTAGGGTGTTCATCTTCGAAGAAACTAAAACTAGTACTCTTTATTATTTGAAAATTTACAGAAATGCAAAAACCTAGGAAAGGACAAAGAGCTCTGCTGTAATTTTGCATGCGTAAAAAGATTATTCTTCAAATATGACCTAATTTCTCCAGTTTTCTAATTAGGTAAAATGGCACAACAGCAAATGTTTATGTCTTACCCTCACCTTATAAGGGAGTTCAGGTTTCTAAATAGTCAATAATAGGTAAATATTAGAACTTTTTAACATAATTTGAAATATGAAGTAAGTTTTAGCCTTTTGAAAATCCCATTTGGTGACCAGCTGCACACCTTTTGTCAGCTGGAGACCTTAAAGAATCTTCTCAAAAAAAAAAAAAACAAAAAAACACAACACACTGGAAAGATGTGTGCCTGTGTATGCATGCACATTTGTGTGTGTGAAAAAAAAAAAAAAACCCACAAACAACCACAGTTCTAGTCTGACAAACAGAAGAGAACCTCCCAGTCTTCTCACTCTTATCTTTCTTAAAAACAAAGAAAGTAAGAATAAATCATCTTTCTGATTTTGGATGCATATTGTACCTACACTTTTCTAGTAAAAAGTAGTCAAGGCAGACCTAGTATTACATTACACTTTACATCATCATTTAGTGACCAAGAGGCTGGCCTTTTATTATTGGAAGTAAAAGTCACATTAAAAACAAACAAAACCTTTGTACAAAGATAAGAGCATGGGTACAAGTTACTTAAAATTGCATTCACCAGAGCTGCTGATTAAAAAAGTTTCAAATTAGTTTTAGCTACAATTCAATGCAGGAAAAGAATGCTAGAAATCCAGGTTTTTTAAAAAGTAAGTTGGGTATAAAGACTAAGGCCACCTTTAGTAACTGCTGCTTACCAAAAGAACAACAAGAAAGTCCTTAGGAAAAAAGAAGGAAAAGAACACTGTGGGCAAAATCTTTTGGTCTTTGTAACTCCCAGGTCACAAAGAGTATCTACACAAAGAATGGCAGAAGGAGTGAAGCTTAGAAGTAAAACATTGATGCAAAGAGAGTCAGCATTTCATGTGATGTTTTCTGAATGAGTTAAAGCAAAACTGTATGTCCCCTATAAAGATATGGCTACTGAAATTATTTGGAAGCTACAGTAATATTTGGAGTTATTTTGTAGAAAACAGGGCTTAGCCTTTCCTACCCCAACTATATTTCTCTTTTGGTAATAGTCCTAAGGTTAAAAAAAAAAAAAAAAAAATTTAAAAAATTGTTATAATTTGAATCAAATCAATGTTTTAAAAGAACAAGTGAATTTTGGTCCCTGAATTCTATAAAACCTCTCTAGGAGGTCAGCCAGCTTTCATAGGCCATAAGCATCAACTAATACATTCTCAAACTAATTATCTTAAGCATACACCTCAATCCCACCACAACAGGCTCTGCAATATTATTTTCTCCACTATCACACATTCCAGCTACAGCTGATTTCTGAGAATCCAGATGACCCAAATACCCCAAACCTTCGGTTTTACCTGGCAACCTACCCTGTCGTTCCCATGTCCTTTTTTATTTACTCCTTCCCTCCTCTGCCCTTCAAGGACTAAACTCTGCATCTTTATCCAATGTCATTGTGAGGGCATGTGTTTTTAATGAAAGAAAGACACACACAAGCTGATCTCAGTTCCATTGTTTATTTTTTGCATACTCTTTTCAATGTTAACTGATATTCTTATGTACATAAAGTGAGTATTTCTATGAACATCTAGACTGATGTTAATCAACTGGCTCATATTTGTTCAAAAATTATAAAAATAGATTTTTACTAAAATAAAGTGTACGTGTGCATATATAAGCATGCACACAACCATATATACATGTATACACACACATATATCACAAATTAAATTTAAATCTATTTTTAGCTAATAACTTGAAAGTTTATCATTACATATTCATATCTAACTTCAAAATACTTTGCCTATCACTATTTCAAGTAGTTGAACTTCAGTTTAATTAACAGCTCAGATGGGGTACTCACCTGCTCAATAAGTTCTCTGACGTTTGTTAGATTCTTCTGTAGGCGAGTCTGCCAACCTTACTTTAAGTCTGACACCATTCACAATCTTGCCATGTAACGCAGTTATGGCATCACTGGCACTTGCTCTGTCTGCAAATTTTGCATAGCCCACATTTTTTCCAGCCACAAGGTAAACTTTTATCAAGTGTCCAAAACGACTGGGGGAGAAAAAAGAAAAAAAAAAAAAGATAATTTACAGGTTTTGCTGCAACACAGATACCTATTATCCAATCTGAAGTATATATGATTTGGTAGCTGCAAAAACTATATTCTCATATGTATGCTGTATTTTCTTCTGCTGCCCTCTTCCAAAACTCCCAGTTTTCATATTCCCTTCTCTAGAATTCCAGGCAGAAACAGAAACAAAACCAAAAGTTTGTAGGCAATATTTTCCATGGAATATTACAATAGAACCACAAGCACCAGTGATTTATCTCTTATTTAAAAGAATATGTAAAGCTAATCAATACCATAGTCCCCAAACACTAAATGGCACTCAAAAAACCCACAACAAAAAACCCCAAACAAACCAAAAAGCACACACACACAAACCAGCAGATAATTCAGAAGCTAAACTTGCATCTCACTTAAATGAACTTGCTCAGTTGCGATTCATCTTGAAAAGGTCTCACTGAAATGACTCAAAAAGCAAGCGCTAAAGCTTTACGGAAAAACTTTTCCAAGTCCTCAGGAGATTCCTAGACAGTTCCTTAAAAAACTTTTAAAAAAATAAATAAAGTCTGCTTGCTTCATAGCGAAGTTATACAAGTGTCAAGACTAGGGTGCATAGCCTTTTTCTTCTACAGCATCTGATTAAGAAAATTCAGTATATCAAATAGGTACAGTTTTAAATTCCACACAAGTGCATATTGTTTCTTTTCCTTTCCCGGTGCTTTGAAAAATATTTTGGCTTTCCAAAGATTTATTGAAAATGCCAGCTATTAGAAAAGGGGAATGTCTTTTTCTTCAAGAGTATACTAAAAATAAATAATATAAAATACTGGAGAACAGCTGAACTATAGCTTTGTTTTAAAGATGGCAAAAATTGCCTCTCAAGTCTTTGCTCCTCATAGGGAGATAGTGTGAAAGGACAGTTGTAATAGTGTCAATAAGATGAAAGCCATCAAAATGTCTCAGGATATATCAGAAAAAAACTCCCTACACTTACTCCCCTAAATTACTGTGGAAATTTATCAAAATACTTAAATTCCTTATAGAAATATGTACAAGGAAATGCCAAATAAATTAGGCTGTAAGAACTGGAAGTACCACATTTTTTGGTTAAAAAAACATTAAGAGACTAGACATTTTACTTCAGATTATGTTAATCAATAATGAAGCTGCTGTACTGATGACATTGCATCTATGCTTCAAGGTGAATTCCATTACACACTTGTTTCAAAAAGCAACTGTTACCTATTGATCACTTATTACTTATTGATCACTGTGCACTGTCTTTTCTGGAAAGAGTTTTCATGATGACAATCTTTTTATTTATTTTAAATATATTTCATGGTTATTTTTTTGGTTAGAGAACACTTATTTGTAAATGGAGTCTTACCAAAACACATCCTCCAATACATTTACAGGTAAAGGATGGGGATGAAAGAGTATGAAAAGCCTTTCCTTCACAGAAGTGTCAGGTGGAACTTTTTTTTTGTGTGGTGGAAGTATGGCATCTGTTTGGGGCTGAAGTAACTGTGAGCCAGAAGTTCCTCCAAATGCCTGCTGAAACAGGGGAAAAAAATGCAAGTATAAGTTAACCGATGGGGGGGGGCGGGGGGAAGTCATTTTACCTTATTTACAATTTTTGTTCCTATCACAGGACATAAACAGGCTCTACCAGTTCTCATTTTAATTTGTATACTTTGGTTATTTCATTAAATTGGACAATAAGCCAAGTAAGGTTAGACACCTTTACAGGGAATAAAAATGTACAAACCAACCAGAGGCACATCTTAAAAATGTAGCATCTAAAACAGTTACAGAAGAAAGTGAGCAGTGTTCTTTATTGACATGTATGAAGTTTCTTACAACAATTCAGAAGAATATTAATGGTATCCATTATATTAACTTACAGGAGGTGTCCTATACTGTTGAACAATTGCATTGTTATTCCGCAACACTGATGACACATGTGCTGTTACCAGCTGTGTTGCCATTTTTCTGATGAGGCTGCAAGCAGAAGTGGTAATAAACTATTTTAAAGAAAAAGCTAAGTTACGGTAATCTTAAATTCAGCAAGAGAAAATAAGTTCTAATGCACATCTGAAAGTATCTCTGGAAATCTGTAAACTCACGTAGATAAGGAAAATCAAGTCAGGCTTTCATGACACTCTAGACATGATCTGAAAGTATGCATGCTAGCTGCAACTCACTGAAAACACTCATACATTTCTACATATAGAGATAAAAAAAGCAAAGAAGAGTTTTGTAATACTCAAAGGGGGAAAAGTAAAAAAACAAAAACAAAAACACACACAACTCTACAGAGCCAACAACATTTTGTGAAAGGTGCCTAAAAGGCAGAAGGGACAGAAAAATTTCACCTGTTTCAATAAAGAGCACGGAGATTCAATTCAGAATATTATCACAGAAAGTTTACTTCCAGCTCTCATTTTCCAGTAATTGTTCTTTGTTCTGTTGCGGAATAAGAAAAAGCAATTGCACTTTTTGCATAGATTCATAGCCCATGTCGTAGGCCCATGAAATAGTAGAGACTATTGAAGAATGAAGGAAATTGTTTGGAAGAAGGATGGTTGCAATGAGTTGGGGTTTTTTTAGTTTAGATCAGGCATGCACTTCTGAAGTGAATCTCCCCATTGTCCCTCCTTACTGTCCTCATTCATATCCCAGAACAGGTTTAACATGAACTACATTGCTTTAGGATGAAACTAAGCCAAAGTATTCACTGCAGGAGTGTAGCTAAGCTGCCCCAACTTGTAATGGGCATTCAAGTCACAGGAACAGATTAGAGATGGTCAAAGTAAAACCTGACGATCCCCATACAGTGGGGATACCAGATCTTCAGCACCCAACAGTTTTACTCCATATATGTGCTTCACAGGGCTACTATTTGCAGTACTGCAAGCACAACCAAGAGATCAAGTAGATAAATCTGGTTTTAGTACAAAAAACACATTCCAGCCTTGTTACATATTACAGAGACATTTACAAAGATTCTTGACAAATACAAGATTTTCCAGTGTATCTTAGGAGTATATATTTTAACCTTTTCTTTATCAAAGACTAGTAAGTTTCAAAAGGGTTATTCTAAACCATTCAAAAAAACCCCAACACACCTAAATTTCAGAAAATACTATCTATGAGTATGAAACAAGATCACAGTGACATTGCTGTTACTTCTTATGTTAAAAATTCATTTATTTTAAGTTTTGCTCTCCAGAACACAACTTACAACTTTCTATGTCTATGTATTGGTACTTACTCTGAGCTATCACTCCCATCTTCTAGGAAAATGACAGTTAATCGATTTCCAGGAGGATACTCAAAACCGTGTAATTTATACTTGGCATATATAGCTGACGCAGCAGTACTGTACTGAATCACAGCATACCCTACAAATACAGTGCACACAGTTTCAGTATGGTATGGGTAAATCCTAAGAACAAACTACACTCACATAAAGCAATATGATTAAACTGCACATTAGTCATAGATGATACAAAATTCTTCAGTCTTTTTACCACACATTATGTTACTTAATAGCAACATCAGTAGTATTTGTGAAGAAAACTTCAGTGGAATTAACTAGTGACAGATCAGCTATATTTACGCTAACTTGAAAAGCTGGTAGCAAAGCAACACAAGTGAAAATATGTCTTCTTCCCTAGCCCTGAATTAGAAACAAAAACATATACAGTTTCATTTTAAAATGCAATTATCCCATCAACAGTGAATCTCAAGTACTGTAAAGTTACATTTTAACTCTCTGAATCATTTCCATTTCAAGCTTCTTGGAGAAGAGACCTCTTCCACATTTTTCTCAGCAACAGCAAAACAACAAGACGACTGAAACCAAAACAATCCTTCCAGTACAAAACATGATTTGTTTTGGAATGATTTAATCCAGTTTACTCATGTCAGCTTCTATACACAGACACACCACCACCCCCCCATTTCAAGATGAAAACTCAAAAGATCCGTTTAGACAACATTTAAACTAGCTGCCTAATAATTTTTGAAACTTTTTCTCCATTTACTCTGCCCAAAACTATTAACTTAATTTGACCAAAAACCACTTCTCATGGTTTTGAGTCTGTCCTTCTTGAGATTCTATTATCTGAAAATGAAGGTATTTAAGGCTATCTGTAAACATGGGTTCAAACAAAACTGAGTTTTGGGGTTTATGCATCAGTGATAGCAGCAACCATTGATACATAAAACATTCATTCTTTCCAAAAAGTGTACTGTATTTTGCAATACAAATGAATTGAAGTGCAATTAAAAGGCATTCCCTGCATAGAAAGAAAAAAAAATAAAAAAAATAAAAATCTTTTTGTACGTTTACTTACCACTATTGGTATGAGGATCTCGCTGAACATCACAATATTCCAGTCCTGGGACTAGATCAAAGAGGGCAAACAGCTGCTCTTGGATAAAGGGAAGCCGTGATACCACTGACAGACGTTTGGAGACCGACTCTTGAATTCTGCTCTCATTTTTTTCAAAACTACAAAACTCTGGCTGCCCACCTCAAGAATCAACATAAAAATAAATAATTCGAGTCGTCACACTAGCATGCCTTCATTTCATTCATATTTTTCATTCAACTTTTAAAAGTAATCTAAGTCAATTATATACACTAAAGGTAACGTGTTTATTTCACCAATGCAGGTCACAAAATAATCAACCAACTAGAGCAAAATGAGCCATAAAAATATAGAAACAAGCCAGGCATTTCGTTTCTAACTCCAACATCCAATCTACTATTTAAGTGTTGACCTAAGTCTCCGTTAGCTTCCCTTCTTCCAAGCTGCATTCTTACTTTGTGACTATACTCAAGACTACAAATCATTTTTAGTATTAAAAGCTGTAACTTACAAAACGGAAGTGTATTTCCTCTTGGTTCTTGCCTCGTGTTATTACTATAATAATCATGTTCAAAAGACTCGGATGACTTATTTTTAGGTTCAGCCAAAATGGCCCTGTAGCCTGAAAGAAACAGCCACACATTATAGCAACACCTCAGCACACCTGAATTATCTGACTGGATCTGCATTCTCCAAGTACTGTATTTAGAAACATATTATTCAGAAAACCCAGTAAGTGCTGGCTTTAGGAAAATAACTAATCTATAACTCTTGAAGTCTGCCATAACAACTGTGTGAAAGTTAAGAACTTCCACATAGAACTACTCCTAGTCACAAGTTAAGCACAACAGAGCCTACTTGCTGTGAGAACGACTGCGCACTGGCACAGGTTGCCCAGAGAGGTCGTGGAGTGTCCGTCCCTGGAGATATTCAAAAGCTGTCTGGACGTGGCCCTGGGCAACCACAGTGCCCAGGTGACCCTGCTTGAGCAGAGGGGTTGGGCAAGACGACCTCCAGAGGCCCCTTCCAACTCTGACCATTCTGTGATACTTGGCAGGATTCAGAAGTGCTCCAGAGGCGATCACCTGAACTTCCATGCTGTAACAGCAGTTTACCTATGTTTTACACCGATCTAGGTTTTGCTTTTATGAAATAAATTACTCTCAGGCTATCCAACTAATTTCATTTTAACCTCACAGCAAGAAGGAAATAAAGTTTAACTTAGCAGTTTAACTGCTAAGTAACCTCAGACTCATATTCCTATGCAAGAATTGTCACAAATATTTTTGTAGAACCACTTGTGATAGATATGATATAGAACCACCACATATATTCCTGGAGGAAAAGAAAAAACCCACAGAAGAATAACAAAAAAACCAACCACACCCACACACCAGGTTGTTTCGTATTTGTGATTAAGCGAACATTGAACAGGAGGTTGGACTGGAAGGCTGCTGTTAGGTTTTCCCAAAAGCCTGTCTTCTCCTGGATGAGGAAGCCCAGTTCCTTCCATCCTCTCCTCATAAGTCACATGCTTCAGCCCCTGACCACCTTGGTGGCCTTCCACCAGGCTCACTCAAATTCATTAACACCTTTTTGGTACCAGAGCATAAATGACAAATGGTTGGTCATAAAGCATACAAAACCTTTCATTCTGTAACAGATTAACCATGACGTTAAATGAAAACAAACAAAAAAAAAAACCCCAAACTTCAATTAGGATTAATTTGTTCTTACATAAACGTAATCACAACAGAATCCCTATGGATTATTAAATATATTTTTATATATAAATTCATCTTATATCAAGTATATTTTATTAAAAATGCATATTCCCAGGGATACATTAAAATGAGGTTTTCCTGTGTATGAAGCCTACGTTACAGGCCAACAATAACACATGAAAGAAAACTCTGTATCGTTTCCAAACTCTTTTCACTGATCTTACTTGCAGTTTGGACCTGCAAGAATGTAATCAGGTGACAGTTCTCAATGAATGTTAATAATACTATTTTTTATGTGCAATAGAACTTTGTCTCAAGATGTGTTTACATCATAAATAATTTACCTGCAAACAAAACTAGAAGTTAAAGGTACATGAATGATGATACACACTTATTGTGAAAAACTTGAAAGAACTCAGTCAGATTCTTACTTCGATCACACTCCTCAATTGCTCGGGCAGCTTGCGATGGTTTTAAATATCTCACATAGCCCAAACCTTTACTTTCTCCAGTAGTCTTGTTTTTAATAATGCTGCAATATTCAATGTCTCCATACATCTAGAACAATTAAAAAGCATGTTAATTTACAATATTTGAAAATGCATTAAAGTTCCATGCGTTAAGCCCTCTGATAAATTAGGACAAAGGCAATTTAAAATAACAATTAACAAATAGCGAATCAGTACCTTAAATTTCTCTCGTAGGTCTTCCTCTGTATAGGATTTTGGTATCATAACAAAGATTCGTGTAAGCTCCTCATCTTCAACATCTCGGTGGCTTCCAGAAGCTCTTGACTGTGCAATAAATACCTAGTGAAATAATTACATAGACATTAATTACTGGAGAAAGGGTCTTAACCACACATCAAAAAGCAAGAAAAACAGTTTGTTTTAACAAGTCTTTGTATTTATCTTTCACATAAGCTAGCTTTCCTAATATGGAAAAAAAGAACATTTCTGATCATAGATGCATCTGTGACAAAAGACCTACAAATACAATACACCCCAAACAGGACAGAGGCCAGCAGAAGTTCTCACTGGAGATAATGAAGAATGGTCAGGAATATCAAAGCCTGATTCAGCAGCACTGCCAATGTCACAGGTAGCATGTGAGGTAGCAAAAAAAATGCATTACTGCAACAGGCCTAGTATAGCAGTAGTAACAGAAAATAAGCAAGCAAGCAAACAAACAAAAAAGCCTAGCAGCTTATTAAAGCCTTGCTACTGCAGTTCACTGCTCAGTTGGGCCAAAGTCTGCAGGTCTAGTGTTCGATGAAGGATCATAACTTCTCACATCTGTAACTGTTAAAATCCTTTTTAATTAATGAAATCAATTTAATCTCAGAAGTGCACCCGAGAACACAAGCAGGCAAAAAAAAACACAAAAAAGCAAGCAAACCCAAAACAACCAAATAAGAAAAATACAAACAACCTTCAAAGTAGGCCTCTTATGCAAAAGCAGCAACTGATTTCACAGAGCTCTTGAATTATATTTCTAATAGTCATGCAGGGGAGTAAGGAATAGAACTCTGATCTTCTGGCTTCTAATGACAAGTTCTTCAGAAAAGATTTTACTGACTCAATTGCTTTTTCAAGTGAAACACATGGAATCTTCTTCCACTGTTCAAAGTCATTCATATCTTCTCAGTACTTGGGTAATATGAAAATAATTCAAGAGGTTGAAAGCTGCCAGTGAGTTCCGTAGGTAAAAAAACCAAAACATAATTGTTTTGAAAGAACTGTGCACAAGATACAAAACCAATATAAAATATACTTGCAAAAACAGTTCTATTTATCCACGTTGATCTTGCTTACAACACTTAAAATATACTGTCTTAAAATATTTCACAGAGATTCCCTCAAGGTTAAAAAAAAAAGGAAAAGCTAGTTTCCAGGTACTGCATTTTCTCCAGGCCTGTTGCAGCTTACGCCACACGTGGGAACTTCAGGCAAGGGTGGTACTCACTGCAGCTCCTCCTGAAGAGCACCGCCAAGCCCGCAAGCCCCGCAGCCCGAAACCCCGAGTTTTTTGACCCAAAAGGGTGACAACGTCAGCACCTGTACATGTAGAGAGAAGGCCACAAGGAGC